GGTAAGGCTTGACACCTTGGCTGTATGATGCTGAAACAAAGAAGTCCCATTGTCTCAGTGAGGGCGTTTATCAGCTTCTATTGGCCAGGCAAGCTGATTGGCATTTCATGTACTCTACCTCCTTCAGCCCTCAATACAGCTCTGAAGAAGCTATGAGAAGAAACTCAGTGGCCTGCTCAAGGTTTAGCATGAAGGCTGGGGAGGCAGCAGTGCACGTTCAGCCCCACTTCTGCAACTTGTCCCTGTGTGACGGTTTTGGCAGGCTACTGGACTTCTCTAAGCCTCAGTTTTCACATCTGAAATTGACATTAATAATGGCGGTGCTTTGTAAATATTGACATTATCATTCTGAATTGGAGTCATCCAGCCCTCAAATAATCCTGACAAATCAGTGGCATTTGGGAAACTAGAAGGAACCTCAAAAGGTTTCCTAGGCCACTAGTTTTCAGACTCTTTTTTCTTGGAGACCTGGGATTCTGGGGAGGTCTGTGGTGGATGAAGGGAAGCTGAGTATGTGTGGCCCTTGCCCACCTTCTTCAGCAGAGCAGCTGTTTCTAATGTGAATTACATAGCAGTTGCATGTTTCTTGCTCTTTTATATCGTGGGGGTTGAGGTGGATTTCATTTAATAAAAATGGTCCTGCTGCTTTTTAAAAAAAGCTTCCAAGGCTTGACCTCATATCTCCTGGTTCCTAATCTAGTGTTTTTACTGATCTTACTAAAGCAGGGAACTGAAATATGACACATTTTAGAAAGGTTGTCATCAGAATTTTAAACATTATTCTTGTACCTTCCAGTTAATCAAGGACTCGTTTAGTATAAACCCCATTCCTGTCCCAGAATCCTAGGAACAGAAATTTTGCTGTCAGAGAAAGCATTGCTATCATAGCCTTAGACAAGAACTGTCTAATAGAACTTTCTGCAGTGATGGGAATGTTCTCTGTGTGCACTGTCATATACGTTAGCTAGTGTAACTGAGGAACTGATTTTTAAATTTTATTTTAAATGAATTGATTTAAATGTAAATAACCATGTGGCTAGTGGCTGCCTTATTGGACAGTGTAGCCTTACAGTATAGAGCAGGGGTCAGATGGCAGTCCCTGGCCTCTGGGCATGAGAATCATCCAGAGAACTTGTCAAAAGTACAGATTCTGGGCCTAATGCCCAGTGACTGATTCAGTAGACCTAGGCGAGTGCGTTTGAGATGGTTATTCTAACTTGCAGTCAGGTAGGAAGGCACTACATTAGTGAGCTTTCCCTCAGCGTAAAAATATGGAGCCAGAACAAGCATTTTGCCCTGGCCTTGATCTTCTGGGGAGACTAGAGCAACTTTCTGAGGAATGTCAGACCCTTGGAGAATGTGATGAAGGCTATGGACCTCTTCCCTGGAAAAAAACAAAAATAGTTTCTAGGGCTCCCAGACCTCCCTGAAGCCATCCTTGAACCCACATTAAGAACACCTCAACTTGGACAGAAGATCTTTACTAGCTGGTGAGGGAGTTGAGCTTGAGCCCAGGAGCCTTGTGACATGCAGGCATGTCACACAGACATGCCCAAGGGTTAATCTGGTACCATCCCACTCATTCCTACCCCCAGATCCCTCCAGGGGGGTCATGGAGGCACCACAGAAGAGAGAATAGGCAGTGTATGTGCATCAGGCCCTGAAAGAATACTGAATTATTCTGAAATAATTTTATACTGAAAGTTCTGCCCCTTTCCTTTCCCCTTGTGTTTTCATAGCCTTGTGGGTGAGGTGAGAGGGTGTGGCTATTGTCACAGCTCATGTCCTCAGCTCTGATACAGAGAGCAGAGGGAAGAATGCATCTGGGGCCTGAGTGGAGCTGTGGAGAGAGTCCAGCTGAGTAATGGATCAGGATTTTGACTTGCCTTCAAAGGCAGAGACACAACGGGCTCCCACTTAGTCCTCACTTCCCACAAGCTGCAGGAGTGAGAGAGAAGGGGCAAAGCTATGGGGCTCTGGGCTGGGGCAATGAGCCAGGGACCAAAGCTCAGAGCTGGGCAGGCCACCCAATCAGCAGCCCCAGGCTTAGTGCAGAACCCCATTTTTTGTAGATCAGAACCCATGTAGAAGTGGGGAAGAGTGAGGAAGCAAGCAGCGTGTGTATGTGTCGGAGAGCTGCTGTCAGGCTAAAGTGTCCTGAAAATAGCCTCTTGAACTTGGAGACTGTCGGTGAGGGTCTGAGTCATGGTCATGTGGCACAGGAAAGCCAGACACAGGAGAAGCTGTACAGCTCCCGGGCCGAGATTTCGTGCCCCTGGGAGGTGCGGGTCAGCCTGTTTTCCCCGTGCCCTTCACAGATTCAGCTGCCAGCTGCTGGGTTAGCTTCTCAGGCCACCTTGTTCCTCTCTCTGCCTGCTAGGCTGCCGGATGAGTCATCAGGGAACTACAGAGAAGGAGGCCCCAAGCTCAGCTGTCTCAGCCTCGGCTTCTCTGGGACAAGGGAGCCTGGAGTGCTCCTGGAGGGAGGATCAGGAGCCTACCTAGCCACCAAGGTGAAAGGGCAGCTTCTGGGGGAGGGGGTGCCCCACAGCCTGTCTGGAGGAGCTCCAGCTCAGGATGAGCCGTGTCAGGGAGGACAGGCCACTTGAGCCTGAGTGCAGCTCTATAGACCTCTAAACATCTGGGTTTAAGATGTTGGGTTTAAGATCTTGCCCTCGGAGCAAGATTGACTGGCTGGCCTCATTTCTCTCACTGTCAGATGAAACTCTCTCTTCATCCCCGCTGCTCAGCATCACCCTTTGATTCCGTCATGCAGCCAGCACCGGCTGTTTCATCTATACCCCACTCTGCTGTACACCGGCAACACCACCTCTGACCCTCAGAAGCCTTCTGCCCAGGGAGGACCACAACTTTCCTCCTTGTGTTTGCCTGCAGCCCAGGGGACTGGGGAGTGGGCAGCACAGCCCACTAGGTCTGGCCCCGCACTGCCCCACACAGGCTGGGTGATCTGGGGCAAGTCTCCACCTAATTAAGCCTGCGTTTCTTCAAGTCAAAATGAGGAGAGGGACTTCCCTCGTGGTCCAGCGGTTAAGTCTCCGTGCTCTCAATGCAGGGTCAGGGAACTAGATCCCACATGCATGCCACAACTAAAGGAGCCCGCATGCTGCAACTAAGACCCAGTGCAGCCAAATAAACAAAAAAAAATTTTTTAATGAGGAGATTAAAGCAATGTCTCTATAGGCACGCTTCTAATAGTATTAGGTTTGGAGGGCTTGGGGTCTGTTTTTAAGATCTCATTTCCCTTATAAAGAGGCTGAGAGAGGTAGGCCCTACTCTAGGCCCTGCATCAAGTCCTTTTTGGAGATGGAAGGGGCTGTGGAGGTGTGGGGTGGGATGACAGTATGGTTAGAAGTAAAACAGCCTGCCTTGGAGGGCTTTCACCTAATTGAAGTCAGAACCCCTTAGACTTCTTAAGGTCATCAAGAAACAATGAGGCCACCCATTCAGCCTCCTGAGCATCCGGCCTGCAGGACCACACCCAGGCATCCAGGCTGAAAGCTAGAGCTGCTGAGTTCAAAGCTAGAAGGCCCTTGAAGGCACCCCACACACCCACACCCCAGTCAAGCTGACTCAGCCTTTCGTAGCCACTGTGGTGAGGCAGACGCAGTAGGAAGGAGGTTTCAGCCTAGTGTTTCCCAGCATCCCACTGTCTCTTGTAAGCTTCCAGCCTGATCCAGCAGAAGGTCAGAGGTGTTGGAGGGTCGGCTTCCCACGGTCTGCCTTTCTCGTGCAAGAGCAGATGAAGGAGTGATCCGGGATGAATTGACCTACCGCAGGGAAGACCGCATCTGTTAGTAACAGCCTTAGGACCAGGCTGCCATCAGAGAGCACTTATTAAAGGCCTGTCTGCAGTTGATGCCTTCTCAGGCTTTGTCTCAAGCAAGTCACGACCCAGAAGGGCCCTGCCCTTGGGAGTCCACAGCCCCAGTCTTTAAAAAGGCTCCCAAATGGTAACAACCTCAGGGCGGTGCCATTCTCTTTCATGACAACTCTAGCCCACGTGCTGTTTGCACAGATTGTCACAACAGTGGGCTCTCTCTCCCTTCTGGCTTTATGGGAACGCAGAGCTGGTAGAGATGGAGCCCAGAGAGAGGTGACGTCTTGTGCTTTGTCCTCATATTTCTAGAGGTGTCAGTTGGTGTCCAGGGCTCTAATATAAATTCCACTACTAATGTTGCGTGAAAGAAAAATGACACTTAGGAGAGGTTTTCAGCAAATGAGTTTGGACATTACAGAAGGAAGCGTGTCAGTTCCTTCTGGAGGGCCACAAACAGATGCATCTCATGAAAGGAGCCAAGTGCTGGTATTGCCATTTGCATGCTGGTTTTTCAGTTTGCAAGATTTCATTTATGTGTATGTATGTAATGTTTATATAAATATACACACAAATCTATATATATACATACACACACACATCTGGATGCCTATGTACACACACACATGCACACACACATATACATACGTGTATCTACCTCTAGCTAGGGAACAAAACAAAACCTTGGTTCTCTCCACTTGGAGAAAAGCCATCATGGATGGTGCAGGCATGTCCTCTACGAAGCAAGGCTTCTGCGGAATCAGTGATGTGACTGATGGTTTTGGAGTATAGGATCCACCACCCTGTTCTGGGGAAGCAAAGTTCACCACAAAACAAACAACAGAAAAAGATTCAGCCATTATTTATAAAGGCAAGAAAGAACCAACCCAGATGTTGGTCCACGTCTCTCCTGGAGGAGGCGGGCTGGAGTTCCCCTTGTGGGGTGGAGAGAGGGGCCATTTACGGTGGAGGGGCCAGTAGGGCTGGGGGGCTCACCGCACATGGAACAATGGTGAGGTTGCCATTTGGAACATTTGGAGGATAGCTGTGTGTGGCATGAGGAAGGAGAGACCCTTTGCCCCCTGCTTTTCTCCTCCCACCCAAGCCTGACCCCTGGGCGCCTCGGGGTCTGGGGGTGACCTGCTCTGTGTGTGGTCTCTCACAGGGTGAGCGTGAGCCTGGGAGATGGCAGTGATGGAAATGGCCTGCCCAGGCGCCCCCGGCTCCGCGGTCGGGCAGCAGAAGGAGTTCGCCAAAGCCAAGGAGAAGACACAGGCAACGGAGATGAAGCAGAGCTCCGTCCACAAGCTCGAGGCCGTGGAGAAGAGCCCCATGTTCTGCGGGAAGTGGGAGATCCTGAACGACGTGATTACCAAAGGCACAGCCAAGGAAGGCTCCGAGGGCGGGCCGGCCGCCATCTCCATCATCGCCCAGGCCGAATGTAAGGAGCCCTGGGCTGGGAGTGTTGGCAGAGAGGGCAGGTGGGGAGCCTGCAGGTGGGTGCAGCTCTTGTGCAAGGGTGGTTGGGCACCGATGGGTCCCCCTGTGGAAGAGGGAAGTCAGGGTGACCATCATAGAAGACTTGCAAGACACACCTGGGAATTAAGCCAAGGATCAGTGTGAAGTGGGAGCTCGAACAGTGCAGGGGAGTGAAGCACAAGAAGGGAGCAGTGGCAGACAGAGGCCTTGCTCATGACCAGAGCAGGGGAAGGGAGCTAGGAGACAGGAGTGCTTGGGCTCCAAGGTCCTGGGCCCTCAGGCAGGCCTTCTGCTGGGACCTTGGGCAGCCTGAGCATCTCTGGAGAGGCCCAGGCAGGAAAGGCCAGGTGTCCCGGAAAGCCTCTCTGGGCCCTGGGACCTGGGCCCTTCACCTTCCACGCCGGTGCTTGCCGCCCCCCACCCCCCACAAAGAATGAACGCCTGCCCTCGGGCCTGCAAGGCCGATGCAGGGTCTGCGGGGCATCCCGGGCTGATCTTTTCTGCTTCCACTCACAATACCTCAAGATGGCTTGGAACAGTGGCTGCCGCCGGAGCCTGAGAAACTCCCAGGGGCGTGGGGAGGGCCAGGAATCCCCTCTCTACCCCACACCTACCCTCCACCCCAGGAGGTTTCCTGGGGTGGAGCCCAGCGAGACCTACAGCTCATAATGGTATTTTCTCACATACACACATCCTTCCCCTCATCTTCCACTTCCTTCTGGCTGGCCTTTGACGAGAGATGAGAGAGTAAAATTTAAAGTGGAGTGAGTGACATAGTAATGGTAGTACTGCACACGCGCACGCGCGCACACGCGTTATATGTGATAGTGTATATTTGTTGAGCTGTTACTGTGTGCCAGGCACTGAGCTGAGTGTTTTATATAGATAATCTCACACCTCACAGTACATGAAGTGAGGTGGGCACCCTGTGATCCCATATTGTAGGCACGCCCTGTGCCTTGACCCTCAGGCTGGGAGGGAGGGGTGAGGCTGCCAGTGAGAGGAGGTGAGCCCCCAGGCAGAAGGGGTCTGAGAAGGAGGAGTGGCCGGGAGGGTATCTGCAAAGTGCCTCTCCCCTAAGTGCCTCTCCCCTGTTCTTTCTCTCTCCTTTCTGCTCATCCAACCCCTTTGCCTTTACTTAAAAGGTGAGAATAGCCAAGAGTTCAGCCCCACCTTCTCCGAACGGATCTTCATCGCTGGCTCGAAACAGTACAGGTAAGGTCAAGTTGAGTGGGGTGGCAGGGAGCTGCCACGGGGGCGTCCCCACCCCAGCTGCTTGCCCGGGCCGCTCGCAAGTGACCCCTGGCTCCTTCCTTCAGCACCTGTGGTTCGGCTCTTGGAACCCACCCAGGCTTCCTCTCTGAGCTGCTCTTGCAGCCAAATAAGCTTATCAAAAGCTTTTCCCAGCATGTGGGTGACTGCCTCTGGGTCACATCAGGGTCACATCAACTTGACATTTTATTTTTATTCTCCTCCTCGGAGTCCTTGCTGCTCCCTTTCGGTTCCCATCAGTAGGGAGGATGCTGGGAACAGGAGGCACTTTGCCGCTGGTGCGTGACCACGAGTGCAGGCCCAGAGAAGCCGCTCTAACTCGGGGAGAAACCTGCTGTGTGTTTCCTTCTGTGAGACACACCCAAGGAGGGATGAGGGCTTGGAAACAGGCAGGGACAGACTTGCAGCTCGGTGGCCCTGTAGAAAGGAGGCCAAGTGAGGCTCGGCCTGTTCCCAGCCTCCCCAGCCCCAAAGAAGATTTTTGGCAGCTGGAGGTTGAACCTGGAAACAGTTCCTCCCCTACCACCAGGTGGACTTCTTTATCGCTGGAATTTGGGAACTGCTAGCAGGAAAGTGACCAACCTCAGCTGTCCCTGCTTTGGAGGCAACAGAAGCCAACTCAGAGCCAAGAATGCCTGCCATGGGCTGTGGCCCTCTGAGCCACATGCCCCGCTTCCGGGACCTCTCAAGGGCAAGCCCCCCTTGGAGAGCAGGGAGAGAACCACGTCTCCCCCTCCACCCAGAAGAGCAGTGTGCACCCTCACTTTAGTAACAACCACTGTTGATCGGAAGCTTGCTGTGGGGCCAGACACAGAGGCAGGCTTTTTAAATGAGCTATTTCATTTAAACCCCATCTTCGCCCTGCCTGGCAGGAAACGCCACCTCCATTTTATCAATGAAGAGCCTAAAGGTCTTTGGGGCTTAGGAACTTTCCCACGTTCACACAAGTCCTGACCAAGCTGGGATTTGACCTCGGGTCTGTATGACTCCAGCCACAGCTACCTGAGCTGTTCTGTCTCCCTGCCCCCTCACACTCAGAATGCGTGTCTGTGTCCCCTTGCTGACAGCCAGTCCGAGAGTCTTGATCAAATCCCCAACAATGTGGCCCACTCGACCGAGGGCAAAATGACCCGCGTGTGTTGGAAGGGGAAGCGTCGCAGCAAAGCCCGGAGGAAACGCAAGAAGAGCTCCAAGTCCCTGGCTCAGGCAGGAGTGGCCTTGGCCAGACCCCTCCCCAGAACCCCTGAGCAGGAGAGCTGCACGGTCCCGGTGCAGGTGAGACCCGCCCCTACGCCCAGACCCCTGTGCCGGGCGCCCCCTGAGCTCATGGGCCTTCGGCACAGCACCTGTGCCTTGGCCCCAGCCCCGCATCCTAACAGCTGTGTTTCCCCCGCAGGAGGATGAGTCTCCGCTAGGCACCCCGTATGTTAGAAACACCCCCCAGTTCTCCAAGCCTCTGAAGGAGCCAGGCCTTGGCCATCTCTGGTTTAAGAAACTCGGGGAGGGCCTGCGGCCAGCGCTGCCTCGACCGGAACTCCACAAACTGATCAGCCCCCTGCAGTGCCTAAACCACGTGTGGAAACTCCACCACCCCCAGGACGTAGGCCCCCTGCCCCAGCCTGCTCACCCCTTCCCCTATAGCAGACGGCCCCACCCCTTCCCGTTCCACCCTCTCCAGCCCTGGAAACCTCACCCCTTAGAGTCCTTCTTAGGCAAACTGGCAAACTGTGTAGACAGCCAGCAGCCCCTGCCCGGCCCTCCCCTGGGCAGACTGGCCTGTGTAGACGGCCAGAAGCCCCTGCCTGGCCCACATGTGAAGCCCAGCTGCCCGTCTCATGGCTCAAGTGACAAGCTGTCCGTGGAGGAGTACCTCGTGCACGCTCTGCAAGGCAGCGTGAGCTCCGGCCAGGCCCGCAGCCTGGCCAGCCTGGCCAAGACCTGGTTGGTGGGGGGCTCCAAGCCTCGGGAGCCCAGCCCTGAAACCGAGGACAGTGAGGGGGTCCTGCTTATCGAGGCGAGTAGTCCCCAAACACACGTACACCTACCACCGCCTCCACCTCCAGGGCCGTCCACCTTCACTACCCCCTTCCCTTCCCCTTTTCCTCTAGTTCTCTTCCTGGATCACTGTGTGATGTTATGTGATTTTCCCAAACTTAGATTTCTGGGTGTTATCCCGTCCATCTCTGACACACTACCCCTTGTCCCCCGCCCCTCTTCACTGTCCTTCCCTTTCCTCTACCACTTAGCTCCTGAGGCATTTTTTCTCATGGTCAAGGCGGTTGACAATTTCGTTTCTGTCCCACAATCACAAGTCTGGGGAGGAGGTTTCTTCATCGCAAGGATCGGCTTGCCTCAGCCCGTGAAGCTCTCCTTTGCCTTCGCCTGACTCCTGCAACCCCCTCTCTGGGTCCGTCCCCACACCCCGACCCCGAGCCCTGCCTCACACCTCTGGTATTCTCGGATGTGAGGGCTCAGCCCAGCAGCCTGGCAAGGGCCACCAGTTGGAGAGCCTTCCTCACTGTAACCCTTCGTCCCTCCACTGCCCTGGCCACTGAAACCGGCCTCTGTCTCCCGCCAACCCCAGAAACTCAAGCCGGTGGATTATGAGTACCGAGAGGACATCCATTGGGCCACGCGCCAGCCCTGCCTGGGCAGAGGCTCCTTCGGAGAGGTCCACAGGATGGAGGACAAGCAAACCGGCTTCCAGTGTGCCGTCAAAAAGGTACGCCGGGCTCCGGGGCTGAGGAGGGAAGGCAGACAGGAGGCCTGTCGCGTTCTCTCTGCTTCCTTTCAGGGTTAGCACAGGGAGGCCATGGGTCTGACTCGTTAACGGCGTCTGGCTATCCTGGCTGCCCTGGGTCAGCTGGAGCTGGAAGGACAGTCCAGGTCACGTGTCCCCGCCTGGGCGCCGCACTTGGTGCGCGTGCATGTGAAGGAGCATGAGAGTGTGCACGCAGCCTGGGCCACTCCTGATGCCAGGCCCCTAGAGCACATCAAAACCTGGAAGATGGTTGGACTGTCATGAAATTCATGTTGAGCTGAAACCCCTAAACTACATAGTGGACCAGAAGGTAACAGCAAGAGCGTAGCCTCCACCTAACAGGTGCTTCCCGAAGGAGGCTGCGCACCTTGGGAGTCAGATCTGACTTGAGTTTGGGCTCTGCCTCCTGTCGGCCGGAGGTACTAGGTCCTGCGAGATGGACATGAGGAAACGAGACTTAGCAAGAAGCCCCAGGCTTGTCCGACTGTAGAGTTTGGCTTTGAACCTCTCTTTGGGCAGGGACAGGGGAGGAAGACTCATGCTTCTAGGATTTTGATTAGAGGCAGAGGCCTGAGTCACCTCTCCCACTCCCTCATCTCACTGATGTTAGAACTGGAGACCAGAGAGGGTCTGCACCTTGCCCATAGCTGCGCAGCTGGGCCTGGAACTGAGGCCTCCTTCTGTCGGATCACACTGCCCAGGCCTAGCAGTCCTTGAGGGTGTCAGTCGTGCTCTCCTTCAGATACCATTTCTCCTCCTCTCCTCTCACCTTGACTAGAAGCCACCTTGTCCTTGACCCCAACTCAGCCTGAGGGCTAGCACCAAGGACTTCGTAAGGTGGAAATCAGAAACATTTCCATGGGCCATTTCCTTGGCCCTTGGGCAGCGTGAAATAAGCTAATTCAAAGACGGACCTTGCTTTCAAATGGCTTTTGTCAAGGACACTCTGATCCCCAAAAGGAAAGGGACCAAATAGCCAGCCCAGGCAGGTCCATCCCACTCAGGCCCCACGCAGAGTAGACACTGCTGCCGCCACTGTCTTGGGTACCTGTGACTTTAAGGGGCGATGGTACAGATTGTGTTGTGAGTAAACCTGGCTTCCCTGGCTTGTGTGTGACCAGGTGTTAGAGTTCTACAGTTTGGGCCTCGGGGTGATGGGATGAGAGAGGGGACTATCCATAGGTATTACCCCAAGCTTCAGACCTACTGTGTCAAATAAGCCAGCTCCACCCCTGCCCACCCCCACCGGCCAAAACACGTGCTTAGTTCTTGCCAGCATGGGTCATCATCTTTTGCTGGGATGCCGAGGCCACATGCCTGACCTCCTCAGCTGCAGTCCCCTCCCCAGGCCACCGGAGAAGGCTCAGCTGTTCCTCCTGAGAGGCGGGTGGGAGGAGGGCAAGAGAGTGTGAAGTGTCCTGGAGATGAGCGCCCATGCTGGGGAGCTTAGTCACCGGGCTCCTCAGCTGTTCCCCGGCTGAGGTTCTCAGAGTCCCAGGCAACAAGGTAAACAACCCTAATATAGTAGAAGAGGACAGAGACTCCATTTCTCACCTCCCCAAGGCAGTCGGACAAGCTCCAAGCACAAGGCACGGACTTGCCAGCCCCAGAGCTGCTGCCGCAGCCCACCAGAGCCAGCCCTTCTCAGAACTCCGCCTCCCCCATCCAGCATCTTAGCGGGGTTGGCTTTTGACAGCTCACACAGCTGCCTTTGGTCGGGCAGACCACCCCTCCTTTCTCTCCAGGGCAGCAGGGTAGGGGAGGCAGTAGTGTCCTTTAGCGTTTTCAGCTGGAAGATCTCAGAAACAATTCCCTGCTAGGGAGTAGGGGTGGAGGGTGGGGACCAAGGATCAGAGGTCAAGCCGCACAGGGGGTCAGAGCAAGTCTGCACACCCTCTGACGTTCCCTAGGGAGGATCCAGGATGTGGAGTATCATGTGACATCAGCACCCCATTGGCCCTCCTTCTAGAACATTCATGGCCCCAGGTCAGATGTTGATTGGTCACAAGTCCAGGGCTTAATGTAGGGTTTTGAGGTGGGGGGGGGGTTAGGGTTTTGTTTGAGCTTACTTTTAATTTCAAATTAATAGAGGCTCATTGTAAAAGAATGATACCCAAAAAAGCAAAAGTCTCTCTGTTGCCCAGTCCCCTTCTGAGGTAACCAGCCTTTGACATAAATCTTTTTTAGACATTTTACGCATATATAAACATGTAGTTGTTTCTTTTATTGAAATGAGATTGCACTCATTTGTTGTTCTATACCATGTTTTTTCATGTAATAGTGTATCATGGATAGATTTCCTTATTGGTACATATACATCTGTCCAGTGCTTTGTTTTTGTTTTGTTTTTTTTTTGCGGTACGCGGGCCTCTCACCATTGTGGCCTCTCCCGTTGCGGAGCACAGGCTCCGGACGCGCAGGCTCAGTGGCCATGGCTCACGGGCCCAGCCGCTTCGCAGCATGTGGGACCCTCCGGGACCGGGGCTCGAACCCACATCCCCTACGTCGGCAGGCGGACTCTCAAACCACTGCGCCACCAGGGAAGCCCTGTCCAGTGCTTTTTAACAGCCAGTGTGTAAGTTCTTAACCTAGTCAGTGGATGAAGTCATAGGATCCATGAATTCCTGGAACTTTATTCTAAAGTGTGTATGTGTGTGGCACGTGTGGACACACACACATTTTTTATTTATTCGATTTTCAAAGGGGTCTGTGGCTCAAAGAGGGTTAAGAACTGTGCGTTTGAGAACATCTGGCTCGAGCATGGAGTTCTGGGAGCCTCCTTTTGCCTCTGCCCTGATCTGGGGTAGTGTGGCCTTGGCCAAGTCCAGCCAGCTGTTGTTACCAAGCACCTGTTCTGTGCCAGACGCTCTGCCAGGGAGACAGAGGTGTGGAATCCACACGCCTGACCTGAAGGAGCTCAGATTGTAATGGGCGGTGGACACTTACATTGTGTAAAGGTGATAGAAGCAGCCATCAGCCAGGGACATGGTGAAGTCAGCCGGGACAAGCGTTGAGAAGGAAATCAGAACAAGGACCGAGGGGAGAATATCTCGATGGTGATGACGAAATAAGGCAGAAAGCTATGTGCCCAATACTGTGTTAGTCACCTTCACATATTTATGTTCCTGGGATCTTTAAAAGAACTTATTAGAGTTGCTGTTACTCTCTTTTTTACCGATGAAATAAAATGGATACGAATACTAAAGAAAACGAGAGAAAGTTTCAAGAAGGAAAAAGCGATCCGCAGTGTAAAGCATGCAGGCAGTTAAGCAGAGGGAAGTGGCTTGTGGATTTGGCAGTTAGGTGATTGCTGACCATGTTTCCACCTGGGAAGGCGCGTGCCTGAACGTAGGTAAAAACATCCCAGATGTAAAAGCTAATATACCTGGAAGGGCCTTCAGCGAGGTGGGGTAGCTGGGAGCTCTGGAGTCAGGCTTCCCCCACCAAAATCCCAGCTTTGCTACTTTATATCCAGTGACCTTGAGCAGATTACTGGTCCAGTCTTCAGCTTCCTTGTCTGTAAAATGAGATAATATCACCTCCTAGCCTATCGTAAGATGTAAACGACTAATGCTTATGAAGTGCTGACACAGTACCTGGCACGTGTTAAGTGGGCATTAAATATTAGTCCTCATTAATTAACATCCTCATCAGAGTCCAGCCCTCACTTGACAGACGCAGACACTGAAGTCCAGGGAGGAGAGGTGGCCGGATGGGCAGCTGGCCTGGACCAGAAGGCCGTCCTTTCTCCCTTGGGACCGCCCTTTCAGCCTGCTCTCCCTGGGGCTGGCGCAGACTTCTAACGCACCTTGTGTTTTGAAGTGTTCCTTCCAACCCCCTCTGATCTGGGTGGTTGGGAAGGGTTTTAATATTACTGGGACACTCCAGAGGACTTACGGGTTTCTTCAAAGTTAAAGCCGAGGCTCCCAGACTTTCTTGTTTCCCAGCCCTTAATGTCTCAGTCACTTTTTCAAGGTGCTCCAGGCCAAAACAAATACTGACCAGTTCCATTTATTAAATAATTGGGTCAAATAATAAGTCTTTATCCTAATAACCTAGTAGCCATTTGAATAACAACACACATAAACTGAGAGATACATTTTGCTCTTAAACAAGCGTTAGTTACTAACGGGGATGCGTGCCTTGTTGGGCAGGCACAACTTCTCCAACTTAGAAATCACTGGACACCATCACTTTCATTTCCTGCTCCACATTATCCCCCTGAAGTACCTTTCTGTCACAACAACCTCCAAAAACCTAGCTTCATAAAGGTATATCATCAAAAGAATGCAGTTCGATCACTGAAACTGAACTATCTCACGCTAGTAGTTTGTGTAGTGTCCCCAGATGTCAATCGTTGCTGTTTCCCTCAAATGCAAAATACCCTGTAGCTCCCTTCCAAGTTCTCTGCGGTGCCCCAGGGCGCTTCACCCCACAGTTTGGGAGCAGTAGGGTTAAAGACGTTTGCTAATACAAGTCGGGTTGGCAAATTAGTTCCAGCTCAGGTTCAGAGCTGGAAACACTGACAGGGAGTCAAAGTTCATGTGAGTTGATTAACCAAACCAGATATTGTGCAAGTAACCAGAAGAGGGACATTTTCCACTGATAGGCTAAAGTCCAAGAGCTGCACAAGTCAGCAGGTCTCGGAAGAAAACTGCCAGCCCCTGACTGACGGCTTCCAGGCTAGTTTTGTTACCACCCATGCCCCCTGGTGGCACTTCTCAGGGCTAACATGAGAACCAGCTGCAGCCGGAAAGGACAAGTCTCTATTAGCAAGTGTAAGCATTTAGTAAGCTGCTCTTATTTGAGCTGGAGGGAGGAGGCAGGGAGCTGGCATTTCCTGAGCACCCACTAGTTGCCAGGCCTGGTGCTGGTTATCACCCCTCCAGACCCCCACTCGACCCTGGAGCAGATGCCACTGTCCCCACCGTTCACATGTGGAGGCACATAGCTTGGGGGAAGTGATCTACCTTTGGAAATGGCCAAGCCAGGGTCTCAGCCCAGGATGTTTGTATCCAAGGCCTATTTCTTCCCTCCATGTCATGCTGGTCCCTGCAGAAAGGAGTGGGTGGTCCCTGGCCTGCCAGTCCCCTGTAGGAGGGGCCTTGGCCAAACCCCTCCCCATAGGAGAACCCTCTCCTATGCCCAGATCCTGGGGAAACAGCTGCAAACAGAGTAAACAAACACTGCCCCATCTACATGGACATTTTAGCCCTCAGGGGGAAAGGCAAATAATAAGTGCTGAGAAGGATGCTGAGGATCCAGGGGCACTGACAGAGCTAGAATCTTGGCCCCATCAACTCTGGCTACAGAAGCCCAGCATCTTAAGTGTAGAAGTGGATGTTGATACAGAAAAGGTCCCATAACCTAGAAACTGTCCAGACATTTGGGCTGGGGAAAAGAAAGTTCTGTGTTTGGCAGATCTCTGAGGGTGGGCAGCATGCCAGGGGCCTGGATAAGGATTGTAGTTTTTGTGACTGTATTTCCATAAGCGTCAGCACTGAAGAACTTTAATCAAGTACCAGGCGTTGACCCCGACCCCCAGGGGGCACAGTTTAGTCTCTAAGGGTCTAATAGGCCCACTAGGGCCCCTGCCTGGCCTCAGAATCGTCACCAGGAACATCAGCGGCCTCTGTGCAGGGAGCTTCAGGAGTCCTGACAGGATGCCAGGGAACCAGCCCTGGTCCGTCACCCTGATTCACATCCACCTCTGGGCCCTTCCAGGTGCGAGTTGAAGTGTTTCGGGCTGAGGAGTTGATGGCATGTGCGGGATTGACCTCACCCAGAATCGTCCCTTTGTATGGAGCTGTGAAGGAAGGTCCTTGGGTCAACATCTTCATGGAGCTTCTAGAAGGTAAGGAGCCAGCCGCCGCTCCTTCTCCCTCCACAATGAGCCAAGTGTTTCCCCGAGTCTTGCCCGGGTTGACCCTCGTCCCCAGTCAATCCGTTTTTTGTTTTTTTGTTTTTTTTTTTTTGCGGTACTTGATGGGCCTCTCCCTGCTGCGGCCCCTCCCGCCGCAGAGCAACAGGCTCCGGACGCGCAGGCTCAGCGGCCATGACTCACGGGCGCAGCCGCTCCGCGGCCTGGGGGGTCCTCCCAGACCCGG